GTAAAATCTGTATTAGAAGCCGCATCCCTAATAGAAGTCGCACCCATTCTTTTTGAATAATTGAGAACCAAAAATTCATCATTTCTCATATGTGTAGATGCTCTAATAGAAGCCGCATTCCCTTTGTTGCATTGTACCATTTTAATAGAAGCCTCGGCTTCTAATACAGATTTTACAGTACTCATGTTTGTTAGAGAAACACAAAGTATTGTGAAATTCTGGAACTCACAGCAGCAGCAATCAGATTTTGTTGAGATATTACATTGTGATTTAAATATGGCAGTAATACATTAAGATGGGTAAAGTATCAGAGATATTGTGGTATTACACAGATTAGCTGACGAAGCAAATCCAAAAGAATGCTGTATATATAGATTCATGCAAGGTAAATCAGATTACAAAGCAGTTTCCTTTCCCTGATTACTGTGAACCACTTTTATTTTGTGCAAAATTCTCTGAGGTCAGTGTCAGCAACTTTTGTGAATTTTGTCTTTATATAAATGTCACAAAATCGTCAAATTCCTCACAGCAAAAATTAGTTTACCGTATAGAGGACATGCAGGTTGTGGTTTATGGCGATTGGGGGGAGGGAGAATGGACGGCCTAATAAATAGACCAATAAAACAGGAAATGAAATAATTTCATAACCCTTTCAAAGCAAAAGTCAACATTAGCCATCTTTCACAAAATAAACTTCCAAAAATAATTGTTTCCACATTTATTAAAAAAATATAAACCCATTATGAATTTTTTTCCTTTTTGTCCCAATCAAATTAACAAATACATATGTTAAAAAAAAGACAGAACAAAATGCATCAAAATTTTTGGTGAGAAAAAACTAAAACATTTGCCTATAACTGGCTTACACATCCACCATGTAAAGGTCAGAACACCACTGGGCATATGGCTAATAAAGAGCACAACAAAAGAGGTGTGAATCAAAATTCTATTCAACATCCAAACAACAGATGGCAGAATAACAAATGTTCAAATTAAATATATTATAAAACCCCCAAAAAAGACAAATTGAATATTTTCCCAATTGTTCGTGACACAGGCAAAAAATACATCAAGTTATCAAATCCATAATAAAAGAAGCCTTTAGAGTCAACTCACTCTAATCTTGGCTGGGATTTTTGTTCATCTGACGTTGGCATATAATTTAGTTTGCAAAAACAGCCATATTTGAATTATGTGTTGTTATCACAACATATTTGAAAAGTTTCCTTTGTTCACCAAGATCACAGAAACGCACGTTGAACACAAAATCACATCACTGAAACTGCTGGACACATTACCTGTGCTATCTTGATCATTAAAGTCATCTACGACCACCAGCAGGCCATCATTACTGCTCTCATCTTGTGGAAAACTAAACGACTGCTGAGTAACTTCACTACTGCCAACGGATATCTGAAACATAGTGTCACCCAAGAGGCATATCAGTTAGTAAATACCTATAGTCGTGGAGTCTCAGATCGTGTTTTCTGTAACATTATTATTGGTGCAAATTGATGGATAATTATTGCATTAGGTTTTCCAACTATTTTGATCTCAGGGAAAGAATAATCTTCTTAAATGGCATGTTATTCAAACTATTTGTAGTTGTTAGTACAGTGAGTCTAACATTGCAAGAATTGCTGGTACCTAAGTAACACATAGCGTGTGTGTTGAGGGTCTCAAACAGTTATAACAACTACCGGTAATTGCATTACATAGTGAGATATCAAAACCTAAAGAAATATATAAATGTTGATAAAACAGTCACGGCAATCAGAGACATGTAATGGCTCTGGAACTGCAGGAATTAAAACAAAATGCCATCATTTGGCCATTTTGAAGAAAATCTGAAAACAATATGATGTTCATCCAAAGTATGCACAAAATTTGAACAAAATATGTCCACACATGGCTGAGATCTGATTTTAATAAATAATAACACAAAAAATGGCCACCGTTCGGCCATCTTGAATAGGATCATAAATCGATTAGATGTGCATATGTTGTCCAAGTTACGAGATGTATGTGTCAAGTGACTGGATCAGTCATGTTCAAGATAAAGGGAGGGGCGCACAGACAGATGCACAGAAATCAATCCTAACTTTTCAGACCTCGTCCTAACTAATTAAATACTACAGTATTTGCTCTATTGGTAGTGCATGCATACATTTTTAATAATCCAGCATACAATTAATGCAATTTCTGGTTTATTCTATTGGAAATGCACTTCTATTGAAGCAAATATGGTATGGCTCTGAGGATCCACATCGCAGGATGGTCGTACGAGGGGAACAACCATATCACATGCCTGTCTAAATCTGAATCTATCATGCACAGTAAAACTATTATAAACTTGCGCAACGAAAATTCAGTCAATTTTGCAATCACTTGCAGAGTTTGGTAAAAGGGAGGGTAAAAATAAATTTTTAAATGATTACAATCATTTTCTTATTGGGAAAATGCGAAACATAAGGTCATCTTGTGAAAATGTATAAAGGTGGATGATAGTGAGTATACAAACTTTCTTTTGCAAAGTAAAATGACAGTTGTTTGTAAAGTTTTCTGAATTTTGTGCCATGTTGGCGCAGGCAACTATAGAAATAATAGTGATGTGAAAGAAATAATATAGAAACAAATGGAGGAGTGGGGGAAATGAACTGAACAACGGAGTTGACGACTGTTCATTTCTCAATGATTGACCCAGAACAGGAAAAAGGTTGCACAGAACAGATGGTTTATTCATAAACTACAAAGTAGGTCACACTCTACCAGCACAACTACCAAGATAATATGTTAATCTCATCCAGGGTATCATTTGCACAGACCAAGCCTTTACCCTAGGCTAGTTCCATGCCCTAGGCTATAAAATAGCTATTTCTTCATTCACAGGTTTTTAATAATCAGGTTGTTGATATGCTAAAACTGAGTTTAGGATTCAGCCAAATTAACATTATCTCACTATCACCATTTCTTATTTTAGGTCTCTATATCACTTATCAATGCAGAGATAAACCTTTTTTCTTGCTAACGAACAGAAATTGTGACATTAACTAATCAGGAATACAGGAGATTGAAACAATTACTGTATTTGCTCTATTTGAAATGCATCTCCAATAGAGGCACAAGTTAGCCAACAGTTGCATATATAGTATACTCGATTATTAAATTATTACTTATACATGTATTAAACATACACCTAAGTTATTTATGCAAGCACATTCACTTCTAATAGAGGAAATATGGTAGGATTGCAGCTGGTTCTTGTCTTGGACTCTATCTAGATGGTCCAAATAGGGTCAATGCTATGTCTAATTAATTACACAGAGAGACAGATACAAAATTAGAACAAGCTCCTGTTGCAGCTGGAAGGTCATTTGAAAGTCATTTCAACAGAATTGTAATTTGATAAATGTAAATAAGGGTAATGGGATAGCACATGATGTAACACATGGCAGGTGGAGTAGCAGAGTAAACACATACAGCTTACCTCACTGAATGGACTAGGAACCGCAGAGTCTACACTCAGCACAGACAAGTCATCCACTGACATACACGAGTTTTCTGTTGACATGGCAGGCGGGGTTATTCCAAACACATCCACTTTTTTCTTTGCATTCTACAAAAAGCATACAACAACTATGTTGGTATTGAAATAGAAATTAAAATCGGCATGCAATATGTTAAAAGTGCTCAATGTCGAAACTTTTAACATGTCTGTCTGTCAATGTTATTGTTACAAAGTCACATTGACATTAATAGTGTAACAGCTGAATACAGACTGACAACGAAATTTATGTACCTGTGCGTTATCAACAGATGCGCATGTTAGACAACAAGCAAACACATGTCAATGGAAAAAAAAAAATTGAAGAAAAAGTGAACTGATTGAGTTAACACTTATATTTATCGCATAAGCACTCAAATTAAACAAATTAAACTGTTCCAAGCACTGTGTCACTTGCATACACACACAGATTGTAGAATCTATTCAGAACAGCAGATTACAAATGATAATACTATATATACATATTTACAATTGATAGAAGCTGCAATACAGAATATTTTTAATATTTATTATTTATTAAATTACCTCCAACAACAACAACAACAACAACAAATTACACAACTTTAATAAACGAGTGAATTTCTCCGACTGTACATTTGAGATATGTATGAACCAACACATAAAGCTATATTTGAGGAGGGTCCAGAATAAAGTAGAATTTCTCAGTAATACTTAGTGTATTGAAATCTGATTTTCTGGAATATTTTTGGACATCTTGTGTCTCATATAATTATGAGCACTGATGATTATTTTTGTTAATGTGGACTATCTGTTGGGTCATTGATGACATTTACATAGTGACTGGATTTTCTGAAGAATTTAGTTTACTATCACATCAAATCAGTGATAAGTGATTCAGATTTATTTGAAATGTTTATAATATTGTTGTATCCAACTCTTAGATAGCTAATTAGATAGTTAAATACGCTTTACAATAAAAGATCCGGTAAATCACATAATTTTCGCTGCTGGACATTTTACAATTGATGGTTTCACGGCATTCTTGAAAACAAAATTTCATGAAAGTCGTTAACATTCTGTGTCACAGGACCCCAGAGAAATCTAAAAGCTATAAAATTTCGCGACTTTCACTGACTCCAGCAATTCATGAAAAATGTGTTTCTGCAAAATTACAGCAATTTACAGTGTGTAGCAGGGTAGATCAATCTAAACTTGAACTATATAAATACAGTAATAGAAATGCACCTCCTACATTAGGCATACCACAGAAATTGAAGGATAGTTATACATCTTCATGCTTGGAGACTAACAGTAACATTTCTGAAATTACGTCGGGTGTCAAGCATTCTTGTACAAACAGGAAGACAAAGTTTTAATAGCCTGAAACAAGAGAATGCAACAAAATGCCATCATAGCATCCTGTAAGCATATCTTTTGACTGCCCAGCAATAATACGATTTGGCCATTAATCATCGACACACTAGCACCGTATGCCACCAATAACATATGGAATAAAATTTATGTTGGCCTCCAATGTTTTAATATCAGTAGAGCGCAAATAAGCAATGCATTTTCAAACACAAGCTTGATATTTGAAATACGAATTAACACGTAGTTGAAAGCAATTGGATTGATGACAAAGCTGGATTTTGATTTTTTTATTAAATGAACATAGGTAAGTGTATGTATTTAAATTAAATAAGAGCATTAAATAAATATGACAAGAATAAATAGTCCGTAATTTATTTTAATTGCATTGACCCAGATTAAAAAAAAAAAAAATCAGTGAAATTGCCACTGTTACAATAGCTCTGCTATTTTACCAGAATTGTCAGAGCAGTTCACAGCATGTGGTATTTAGTGACCAGTAATATTGTATTAGTACCAATACCGTAAATCTTAAGTTAGAACCAAATTCAACTCCTGAGGTGAAGAGAAGACATTGCCTACCTTCTGTGCATATTTATCCCTTTTTCGTTTTCTTTCCTTGGCTTTGTTGTTCTCTTCTAGTTTCTTCCTTTCTTCTTGCCGCCAAAAAACTAGAATCAAAGTTTAAATACCATATTAATAGCAATATTCAATATAGCTAAATAAAGAAGACATAGCACATGTTTCCTACACTGGAGGATCACTATTCAAGTATTCTCAGTTTAAATATACTATTTTGCTGAAAACCACAATTCCAATGTTGTTCTGTCATGTTTAGCAAATTACAAAGTATTTTCAGCAGATTTTAATTTTATTTGTGCCTGATTGTATGCCTTTAAAAAAAAAAAACTGAAAATAAAGTGCAAACATAGTAAATTATTAAATAAATTATTAATTCCACAATTTTGTAATCTCAGTAAAGCTAAATTTGCAATAAATCAGAATATTCGGCTAATATATAACAACCAGAAATAAAAATCATCCACATATCCGGACAAACAGCACTTTACGATCAATTTTTTTTTACTGGATTAAAATTAAACTGAAAATTACGAGGAAATAAAAATTTTGAAACCCCTGTGGTACTTGAAGCAGAGCACAATTGGCAAAAAATGGGATGGGCAAATTAATGCAAAGAATCCAGTGAGTATAGATTCATCAATTTAAAGAAGTGATAAAAAAACAAATCTAAAAAACTCTAGAGAAGACCAGTAACGTCTAGCCTTCATTTTTATACACAAGAATAGTCACAAATAAACTCAGTGGCGAAATAAAATCACAAAGCCTGTATCATTGGTAAAAGAAACCCGAAGTTCAAAGTCAATCACTTATTTGATGAGAATATTAGAGACTGGTTTCAGATACTAATAAATTTTCTGTATTAAAGCCAAGATTATTGACAAAGTAAACAGACATAAGTAATGATGGAATACATCACCCACATAGGGGCAATCAATAATATCTATCAGCATATCAAAACATGCAATACAAATGTTTATTTACATGAACTGTAGAAACCATTGTCATTTTTTTTTTAATTATTGATGCTCCAACACCTACACTAATTAGGTAGCATCAGTGAAGTACAAACCTAACAAAGGTCTTACTAGAACCTAAGGTCTATATGCTAGAACAAGCCAGGAGAGTATACGGTCACGGTCACGGTCACAAAAGAAATTTCAAATTATACTCCAAACTATGATTATAAATAATCAGAACATAAACATTTTTAAACTCATATTTTTTCCCCGGAAAAAATGTTGGGGCAACAATTTCATTTCTTTTTTAAAAATAATCACAGTTAATTATGGAGCAAATTGACATTATTTGACATTGTTAACA